GGTCATCCCGCAGCACCGCCACGACAGCACCGTCTCTGGACTTCAGCTGCTCGGGCACCACACCGCCACCTCAACGGCGTCACGTGTCATCGAGCCAAAGAATCCGCGCCAAGCACTCACGGGACCACACAGCAAGGAATGGCGTGAGGCAATGGATGCGGAAATCAAACCACTTGAGTCCCGCGATACCTGGGTGCTCGTTGATCGAGCGGCAATCAAGGGGAGAAGAATTCTTTCCGAGAAATGGGTCTTTCGCGTCAAGACCGCAGCGGACGGGACGATTGAGCAATTTAAGGCGCGCTGGGTCGTACATGGCTACGATCAGAGGCACGGCATCGAATTGGACCAGACGTTTGCGCCGGTCAGCCGTCACACCTCCGTCAGAATCCTCCTCGCTATTACCGCCGCAAGACACTTACCACTTCGGCAGATCGATGTGAAGAACGCGATCCTCTACGCGTTAGTAGATGATGTGATCTACGTGGAGCAGCCGCACACGTACGGCGAAGGAGATCTACGTGTGTGCCAGCTGCGAAAGTCCCTTTACTGTATCAAACAGGCGCCAAGGCTCTGGCAGAAATACCTGCACAACATTCTGCTCGAAATTGGTTTCCAGCAGCTGCCTCACGATCCAGGGATGTATCGCCGTGATTTTTGCGGCGAATACATCCTACTCACGGTTTACGTCGACGACCTCCTCTACACAGGGTTGTCAGAGGTCCAGTGGAGATCCCCGATTGATCCTAGGGAAGGGTTACAGGCTCGTTGTCCTGGGGGGTTATGGGTGCACTGACCCGCTACTTAACAAGCCCTTTTATCCCAGTGGTCTAGTGACTGGGATTTTGACATGGTATCAGAGCGAAGGTCTCGGGATCGAATCCCAGTGTGTGCACTTCGGGCATCCCAGTGCGGGGGGTGTCAGAGGTCCAGTGGAGATCCTCGATTGATCCTAGGGAAGGGTTACCGGCTCGTTGTCCTGGGGGGTTATGGGTGCACTGACCCGCTACTTAACAAGCCATTTTATCCCAGTGGTCTAGTGACTGGGATTCTGACAAGGGTCAAGCAACGAACTGCTTGAGCAGTTCGAGAAAAATCTCGCGGGGCGCGTCGACATCACCTGCAACCATGACGTGAAGCATTTTCTCGGCCTTAACATCTCCTAATCGCCAGAAGCCATTCATCTCTCAGCACCAGGTATGCTGAAGAACTTGGAAAGTGCTTCAACATCGCACCTGCACCACTCTCCACCCCTTACCGCACTCCAGGACCCAACCACAAGCCTGACAACAAATCCATGTCCCCCGCTGGGCTTCAGACTTACCAACATCAGCTGGGATGTCTACTCTTCGCCTCTGTTACCTGTAGGCCCGATCTCTCGTACATCGCGAGCCAGCTGGCTCAGTACTCCCGCAAACCAACGGCTGAGAATCTCCTAGATCTTCAGCGGGCTCTGCAGTTCTTCATCTCCACGCCCAATGTTGGGCTCTGCTACTCCACCATCCCAACCGCGTCCTTCAACCTCATCGGCTACGTGGACGCTGATCATGCCGCTGACCCCGACAATCGACGGTCTAGGACAGGCTTCCTTTTTCGCCTCGAGCCCAGCGGCCCCATCTCCTGGAATTCGCAAATACAGGAGCTGGTTGCCCTGTCGTCGGCGGAAGCCGAGTTCATCGCAACAACAGCAGCCGTTCGCGAAGGCCTCTACCTTCAGGAGCTGCTGCAGGAGGCGAAAATTCCAATTTCGCCGAACTTCCGTCTGCACTGCGACAACCAGAGCGCGATCAGGATCGCGAACAAACCCTGATTCGTCAACCGCACCAAGACCTGCTACGGCCACGAGTGAAGGGGGGTGTTACGAATAGTAAAATATGAAGTATTACTGTGCACTCCTAACCGCAGCAATCGAAGCACGCAATACAGAGGCTGAAGACGAAAAGGCGGAAGTGACGCGAAGGGACGTACGGTTACGGAACATCTGGACCGTCAGGGCAGACAGCATCAGGCAGCAACAGTGGTGAGGATTCTGCCTAGGCAGTTCGTAACCGTCTGGAGTCGCACGATCGAGTTTCGTTGCAGTAAGGGAATGTACCCCTTAGAGTACATGGCTAGCTAGGTTGTTTCGTATTCCATCTTGTACTCTTATTTATACCTTTGTATTTGCATGTTTTAATCATCTCAAGCATTTTACATTCACTCTGCTTCTAGGTCAAGGGCCCACCACTACCAATCAGTTGTGTGCGAAACTTCCTGAGGTGATCCCAGGGAAGATCAACTTCTGATCGCAGCAGGCTGTATGGATATGAGTGATCCGAGGAGCAAGAACAAGGGAGGGAAGGGGTTTGCATTAGGAGGAACTTTATTCAATTAGCAAGCATCTGTTAGCAAGGACTAAAGATTATGTCCCTTCCCATAAAGCCGTGTGGACACCCAATCTTGTAAACATGAAGGGAGGGAACCGAACAGCACTCCTGCATATGCATGTCGCCCAAATACAACTCGAATTGGTGGCTGCTTCGCAAATGCTGCATTGACGATGCGCTCCGCAAGTTGCGATGCAGGCGGGTTTTTCGTATCAGCTGCACGATACTTGTACGACTGGCACATTCGGAACTCGAGCGCCTTGTATGGGCTATTGTCGGGAATTGACGGCATGTCGGCCGCGGTTTTGCTGAAGATGTTCGTTCGGATGTAACCAGGAGTTACCAGCACCACACGAATTCCGAAGGGCTTCATTTCAACTCGCATGCAGTTTGTAACCGCGTTGAGAGCTGCCTTGCTTCCGGAATAGGCTGACGTGAAGGGCCTGAAGGAGAAAAGGGATATGAAAACGCATGAAGAAACGAATGAGAGAAGGAAACGAGAATGGGTCACTCAGAGCTCCAGCCCACATAAAAGCATGATAGGAGCAAAGCATGGGCATCACGCATTGCAGAAAGAAATAGCGTCATAAGTTGTGGGCTGAGAGGGAGGATAATGAACGGGAGCGCAGCGAGTGCTTGTGCGGGGAATGAATGAGATGCGTTAAAAGGGATTGCAAGGTAGTAGTACCGGTGAGTGTAGCTGCTGACGCTTGACATGTTAATGATGGTTCCGCTACCGTGTTTCGCCATGTGCGGAAACACTGCTTGCGAGAGCGCTACAGCGCCGAAAACATTTGTCTCATAAACTAGTCGCAATCTGTCGAGGGGAATTTCAGCAACTGGTGACGGAGCGCCGAATCCCGCGTTGTTCACCAGCACGTCGATACAGTCACACTCCGACATCACTCGCGCGATAGATTCCTGCCGACAGGAGGCGCGCGATAGAAAAAACAGAGAAGGACGAGATGGATTAGAATCGAGGAAAAGAAGCGAAGGGTGATATCGGGCCCCGGGGGAAAAAATCCAAGCAGGATGAGGGGTGAGGGGGAGGACGGTGGTGGGGAATGTGGAATGTAGGGCGGCAGGCAGAAATATAGGAGTGAGGAGGTTGGGAAGATCTTGGCAAGAGCCAGGGTCGCAACGGGGAGCTAAACAGCATACTATGTTATCGTATTATCACGGATATTTTTTTCCGTCTCGAATATATTCAGATAAACGATTATAGTTGTTATCGTGGCTTCACGGATGAGTTCAGGATCCTCTAACGTAGTCACACCTTCACGGATTCAATGCAAGTGACGTCTAGCGGGAGCAGTCGCACGCCCAGCTCTGACAGCCCGTCCATCGCATCCAGTCGCCGAGCTGTCGCGTACACTGTCGCTCCGCGACTCGCGAACTCTCTGTTGAGATTTTGCGAAAACATCATATATTCTGAAGGTGGTTAACATGACCCCGGAGCCTCCTACAGCATGACCATCATGAACAAAAATGCGAAGGTGGGTGATTGTGTGTTTGTGTGTAGAATAATAGCACACTTACTCTGCAAGAGCGTATCCAATCCCGCCAACGGAGCACCCCGTTATAAGCACAACCTTGCCTCGCCCCTGCTTGTGCTTATCCTGCTGCTTCGCGGAATATCCAAAATCGCTATACGCATCGCGCTGCACAAGACTGGGACTTACGAGACACCTCTCATGAAATCTGATGGCCCTATCGATGCGCATCATCGTGGCGAATATTTTTTAACAACAGCCGGCTTTGAAAGATCGACTCGACGAAGTTTTCCTCGTTTTCTGCAAGCAATACTTTCTGTGAGACTACTCTATGTACATGAAAATCTCGCTGTTTTCCGTCAGGAAGATGATGCGAGGTAGTATGGCCCGTAACTGTGAACTAGCATGCCGAGAGTTACGTTAGAGACCCATCGAGCAACTTCACGCACTTCGAAATCACTCGCCTGTCTATTTATTACTGCACATCTAATCTGAACAACATTTACGAATATGAATCTGCTGAAGAAGCACAGACGGGTGCTAGCACAAGCCCAATGTAGTTGGCCCGGTGAGAATTGGGACAAGCATGTCGCTCATTGGAACCGGTTGTTGCGGAATGTCGCGCTTCGAAGAATCTGATAGAAAAGGGAGGAAAGGGAACGCCCTGAAATTACGGAACCGTCGCCCAAGCTGTTTCGTTTCCTTTCTGCCACATCCAACACCAGCCCCTCCGCGTCAATCGACCTTCGCAAATGCTGACGTGAGACGCAGCTGGCCGCGTGCGATTGCTGGAAGTGAATCGTGCGAATCGCCATTCGAGTCCACGAACTACATGCGAGGTGGTATTGCAGGGAGGGCTTTTCCCGCGCCGAACGCTCTTGGTGGAAATGTGGTGCCGTCGGTGACGCCATACAAGAATCACCGCACTACCTTATAGTTCAAGTCCCTTAAAGAAACAATTTCAGTGTCATCAAGGTGTACACAATATCATCACTGACAGCATCTTTCCCCCCTTAGAGCCGGTACTTTTGTGAAGTATGTCCACTGGTTTTGGCTTACAAGGAGCAACCACAATTTCTCACCAAAGCACAAAAACATGCAGAAGCGAAAGAAAGGAAAAAAATGAAGACAGTGAGGGCTAGATCTAGCTGTTGCCGCCCGTGCCGAGCCCCAGGAGCATGTTGTTGCCGCCCGGCAAGTACACCACATTGCGGCTCCGAGAAAGCGTTGCAGCAATCTCCCTTGCCGCCTCGATTCGCCTCAGCTCTATCATCGCCCCTCCCACATTTGCGGTCGCATCCGAAATCTGGAAAATTGTCATGCGCGGGGAAAAAATGTGCAGTACAAGCACCGACTTGAGCAAAATTCTCCCACTGCCCTAAAAAATTGCTGCCGGCCTCACCTGCTTGACCTCTTGTACTGGAAAACACACATGCCAAGCAACGCCGTGCCATGCCGCAGATTGTAACCAATCAATCAACCCATCCACCTTCCCAACCACGCACCCAACCCAACCACCCAGCCCTGCAACCAGCCTTGCAACCAACTCTGCTACCCACCCACACCACACAGCCCTCCCCAGGAGGAACCCCCAGCTGCTCAGACTCACCCTCTGCCCTTGTAATCGCTGCGGATCTCTCCTGCTCCGCCTCTTGCACTGATACACTCAAGTCATGCCATACCATGCCATTCTCACAACCAAAACCCTAAACCATCACCCACCAGCTTGGCCGCCTCAGACTCGCCCTCTGCTCTTGTGATCGCTGCCAGCCTTTCCTGCTCCGCCTTCATCACCACAAACTTGGACCGCTCAGCCTCCTGCTGGGCTGTAGGGAGGAGGAGAGGCAAGCAGGAAGACAGGAGACAGGGGAGAGAGAGCAGTGATGGAGGGGGTGAGATGAAAACAAGCACGGGCCTCATGATAACAAAACATCCTGCGCAGATAAATACGTACACATAATTACATACGTAAACAGTCAAGAACATCACGATACATATATACATTGCATGATACATCAAGAATGAAAATGCAAAGGACATCTTACGAGGATAGTTTGGGGGGCAACCATCCACTCACCAACTTGCTTCTGCTCCACAGCCTTGGAGAACTCGGCACCATACGACAGATGGGTCTGGTGCGGTTTGGGTGCGGTGGAATGGGGTGGGGTGTGGTGAGCGTGGGTTAGGGGTGGGTATGAGGTAGCGTGAGTATGGGATGGGTAATACAAATATGACTGCTTCAGAAATGAACGCCATGCGACAGATGGGTCTGGTGTGGGTTGGTTGAGGTGCGGTTGAGTAGAATGGGGTGAGCATGGGACTCGGGTGGCGTGTTTTGGGCATCAGATGGGAATCAGTTGGGTATGGGATGGGTAAATGGGGAGAAAAGGGGGTATCTTAAAATTTCAAACATTTTGGAACATGCTGTTGGTGTCGCGTGTACAGCGATATTTCAAACCCATGTTGGAAAAGTCGCCAGCCGGGGGCATGCTTACAGCATATATACGTAGACGAATATACGCTGTACGCAATACGCACGTACATTCGTTCGAAAAAAAACGGGCTGCCCGGCCAAAAAAAGAAAAGAAAAAGTTCGCGCACGAAATTGGAAAATGCGTCGCGACACACATTGTGCGCACGAATTTTGCAAATGCGACGTCAAATTGTTCGCACATCAGAGCAATTCGTCGACCCCACCAACACACAAATTTGGCAAGGGGACATTCAAATCAACCGCATTGCACCGTCCGTTACCCCGCGACTCCAACTCAGCTACACGAATGTCTCCAACCAGCCTACCTCAACTCTCATCGAGGACAAAAAGGTAAGACCCTCCCAACCCTAAACATTCTCATCAGTCACGTCGTCCAATTCTCTTTCTCCAGTTCTCTCGATCACCTCGCAGCTCTACGATGACGCCCCCTACTGGCACTGGCACTCCCGCGAGTGCGACTAATGAGGTTCCTAGTGCCTCCTGACCGGAAAAACGTTTTACCTGCCCGGGCAGCGTATTTTTCACGTATTCTTGAGTCACCCATTCAGCGCATCCCGTATTATACGCAAGCGTATATACGCTTGCGTATAATACGCTGGGCGCGACTTTTCCAACATAGTTTCAAACAACCAAGTATTACTCCAACCGCACTGGCATCGCGCCAGTGCCAAGTCATCCTGAAGTGCCACGTCATCACAGCAGTGCCGATTCATCCATCAGTGCCACGTCATCTCACCAGTGCCACGTCATCCAGCACGATGTTGAAGTCCTTGGCTCGCTGAGTCAGGGCCTCCCGCACAAGCTTTGATACCTGGTTGGTTGCACACAGGAGGGGTGAGCTTAGAAATTGCTAATTCCTATACATATGCAAAATAATTCTATGTGTGTGCATATATATATATATATATATATGTATATATATATACATAAATATATATATACACGTATGTATACATAGAAGATACAAAAAAGGAACTGCACTGTATTAGAAGCCAAATTCCGTAGTGCACTCTGCACTCACATATGGACGCTCTGTGAGTAGCTGATCTGCGTTGAATTGAGCCTGCCAAAACGAATACAGAAGAAAAGGACGAAAGAAAGAAAGAAAGAAAGAAAGAAAGTAAGAAAGAAAGAAAGAAAACAAACCACACATACACAAATTAAGAAAGACAGCAATGGGAGCGAAACAGCCTCACATTGCAATCCGCCACATCCCTCTGAAGGTCCAGCTGTGGGCCGGTCACTGATTTCTGACCTAAAAGCTACAGCTAAAGAAGGCAGAGCAAAATAGACTCGTTATCAGCAGCTCACCACAAAAGCTTTCAGAACTTCGATGCCAATGGATGGCGGCACTCTCTCATCCTAACCCATGCCGAGCGTCTTAAAAATCGCCGGCAGGTGGGAGGTCTTTCTAATCCGCAGCTAAACTCCAAGAAGTAACGTACTCCTTATAAGCAGCCCACCACAACCGCTTTGAGCACTTTAATGCTGATAGAAGGCAGCAAACGCCCATCATAATTCGCGCTGAGCGTCTTGAAGATGGTCGGCAGGTGGGTGGTGACTTCTAGCCCACAGCCAAACCTTTACAGGAACCAGGCAGAAATTACCGTACTCGTTATAAGCAGCTCACCACGACGGCTTTAAGCACTTCGGCCGATAGAAGGCAGCACTCTCTCGTCGTAATCCGTGCCGAGCGTCTTGAAGATGGTCGGCATGTGGTTTCTAAACCCCTGAATGTACCGTACTCGTTATAAACAGCTCACCACAACAGCTTTGAGAACTTCGTTGCCGATAGAAGGCAGCACCCGCTCGTCATAATCCGTGCCGAGCGTCTTGAAGATGGTCGGCAGGTGGGTGTTTTCCGGCTTGGAGAGAACTCGCAGTGTCAAATTGACCATCTGCAAATCTGAAATAAGGTAGGACAGGGTGTTAAGGGGTGAGAAAACGACTCTTAAGATCGTGGGCAGGTGGGTGGGCTCTGTCTAGGACAGCGCTCGCAGCGTCAGGCTGACTATCTATAGATCTGAGATCAGGGCTAACAACTTGGGGATTAGGGAGGTGAGAGTGGAAGGGCAGGAAGGGCAAGGTGAGGGGGAGAGGGAGAAGGTGTAGAGGAGACGTAGGGGCACTCGCAGGTTCAGAAGAGAAGAGGCAACAGAGAGGTAGCGACAGCAGGGGACGGACGGAATGAGAAGGATTTTTGAAAGGTTTCAGAAATTTGCTGTCTCGCACTTATCCCCTTAGGGCACGTTGTATACAGACGGCTTCTGCAGCCAGGGGATGAGGAAGTGCGCCCGCTCGCCCTGCGTCTCTGCTCTCACCCTATGCTCTTATAACGAGTACCCCTCATCCTCCTGTAACGAGGATACGTACCCTGTGTTCCTGTAACGGAGGTGATGGAGTGGGGGCGAGTGCGCACGTCGAAGATGTAGGGCTTCTGCAGCTGGGGGATGAGGAAGTGCGTCTCCTCGCCCGGCCCTGTGTCTCCTCTCTCTACCATTGTTCCTGAAACGAGTACCCCTAACTGATGGATTGTTCCTGACACGAAGATATGTACCTTTTGTTCCTGTAACGAAGGTAATCGAGCATGGGCGAGTGCGCACATCGAATATATAGGGCTTCTGCAGCCAGGGAATCAGGAAGTGCGTCCCCTCTCCCTGCGTCTCCTCCAGTACTCACCCAATGTTCCTATAACGAGCACCCGTTATCCTCCCGTAAGGAGGACACTCACCTTTTGTTCCTGTAACGGAGGTGATGGAGCAGGGGCGAGTGCGCACGTCGAAGATGTAGGGCTTCTGCAGCCAGGGGATCAGGAAGTGCGTCCCCTCGCCCTGCGCCTCCTCCAGCACTCACCCTATGTTCCAATAGCGAGCACCCTTTTCCCTCCTGTAACAATTATACCCACCCTTTGTTCCTGTAACGGAGGTGATGGAGCGGGGGCGAGTGCGCACGTCGAAGATGTAGGGCTTCTGCAGCCAGGGGATGAGGAAGTGCGTCCCCTCGCCCTGCGTCTCCTCCAGCACTCCGCGGAACCGATCGAACAGCACCGCGCGATGCCCTCCGTCGACTGGGGGGAAACAGGTTTGAGAAACAGGTTCGGGAGACAGGCTCGGAATAGGTTCGGGAGGCATAGGCTCGGGAGGCATCGGTTCGGATAACATAGGTTCGGAAGACATAAAAAGTGCGTCCCTTCGCCCTGCGTCTCCTCCAGCACTCCGCGGAACCGATCGAACAGCACCGCGCGATGCCCGCCGTCGACTGCGGGGAGGCGCAGGGTCCGGCGATAGAGATTCGGGAAAAAGGTTTGGAGATATGCGTTCCGAATACCGGTTTGAAGGGCATAACGAAGATATGGTACCCGATTAAAACGCCTCGAGACAGCCAAGGCGGGGCAAACAGTCGGCCAAAAACTAGTAACCGGCGAGGGCGAATTCTGGCGACGTTCGTCAACACGCAGCATGATCTCGACTCGGAGTAACACTTACCCGTATAGAGTGACGCGTTAAGCAGGCTGCCGCCCACGCCGAGCGTGATGGCGAGCCTGGCGATGTTCGTCAACACAGCTGTCGCAGACGAGCTCATGTTGGCGACGTTCGCGAAAAGTCCGTTGACTGAATTACAGGCTTTGTTTCAGCGGCGCTCAGAGCACGAGAGACGCGGCTCTTCGCGAATCCAATCCGGATCTTCAAAGATCGCGACCACTAGAGGGACAGAGATCTCTGAATCCGCCGTACGATCCGCCGGAGAGAACGCGAATAGGAACCGTAACGAAAGATTTCGTGTGTGTGGACGAAATCTGGCGAAATCGGCGATGACTTTCGGATCGAACGGATGAAGTGCGAATATCGGGGATCTCAGATATCGGACGGTCCCTAATTGCGCTCCCAGATGCGGACGGACAAAACGCCTACTATGTGGCGAATAGAAGGCTCTAGAGTCCAGGTTACGTTCTGGAAGCACGAGAGGAATAAGGCAAGTTGAGGTGGCGTTTGATGATGTCGATAATCTCGACAAGAAGCGCGACCTGGCGAGCACGAAAGCGTGTGGTAACAAATCGTTCAGCGAAGTCTGTAGGGGATTGTTCAGGCTTGGCAGCTGTGGCTATGGCGCTACATGCAGTCCGGTACTATTTAATATAAACAAAACTGCACTGTGTTTAATAGTGAATTTAAAATTGATCAAACCAATAACTAAGTGTGTCCTTTAGATCAGACCATCTACTTCACAATAGGAATCCGTCAGAATGTAGCTCACTCATATCACATGTCCACCACAAAGAAACAATACATTGTTTTATTATTGCATACACGTGTCCATTTTGCTCAAGCCTTGGTGGCCTGGGGAGTGGAAGTCGGAACAGCCGTATCAGGAGCCCGAGCGGCCGTGCTCTTGAGGTCCAGGAGTCCATCCTCCTTGAGCTTGGGGTCGAACCGCAGCACCTCCTTGCAATTCCGCGCCTTGAACGCTGCCTCTAGCTCACGCTCCACTCGTCTCGCTACCTCCTTCAGTGCCTTGGCCTTGGGAGGCCCGGGAGCAGCATAGTCCACTGACTTCTTCTCTTCCTCTGAACACACAAAAGATAAAAAGGACATACGTAGGTTCATCATTGGGTGCATGTAGGTTTCAGATCATCTCTTGTATCATACGTATTGAAACGGAGCAACACAAAAGCAAGAAGATGCACACGTGGCTGCGGAATGCACAAGCATGTGGAGGTTGCTCATTATTCCAGAGGGTGGAAAGCGCCGTCCTTTGATCCACTCGTTCTTGTTGATTCAGCCACATCATGGCCTTGGATGGCCAAGGAAGGGCCTGTACCTTAACTAGAGATGGAAGATTTCTTTCTGTCACTCACCAGTCATGAGGGGCTTGCAGTCAAGAGGGTTCTCCCACCGGTTCTGCTCCGGCCCCTCGTCATTCCCCGGGGGGGCAAACCCGTTCTCTGCGATCCACTGGTCCTTGATAGCCTCTAGCACCGCCTTGGAGGGGCGCGTGATGTGGGTCACCTTAATCCACGCACATGCACTCGGTACCCGCGCGAAGTGCAGCCGCATGCTCTGGTATACCTGGGAGTGGGGGGAGGGGTTAGTGGAGAGGGAGGAGGGGGGGATGGTGATGGGTGAGGAGGAGATGTGGGTCACCTTTATCCACGCACATGCGTTTGGCACCCGCGCAAAGTGCAGCCACATGCTCTGGTATACCTGAGAGTAGGGGGAAAGGTTGGGAAGGAACGGGGAGGGTTGTGGTGGGTTGGGGATCGAGGAGGAGGTGATGTGGCTCACCGTTATCCATGCACAGACTGCCCCATGTTCAAGCCAGAGGTCCCCTCGTTCTGACCCTGCTCACCTGGCGAGACACGCCGATGTACTGTAGCACTTTGTCGTCATTGTAGATGCCATACACTGACGCCTTGGCTCCCGCTTGCGTGCAGTCCGTTATAAGCCCCTCCTCTGTAAGATACGGCACCCAGTCAAGATCAGCCATTCGCGGGTGCGCTCCTGCTGCTGCTGCCGCTCCTCCTGCTGCTGCTCCGGCTGCTGCTCCCCCCGTTGCCTCGCTCTTCCGCTGCGCCATCTGCCTGCGCCGATACTCCTCCTGCGCCTGCATTGGTTGGGAGGGGATGCGCTGGCGTGGGGCAACTTTAATCTCCTGAATCACTCAAAGCCCTCTCTCTCTCCTTCCCCTCCGTGCTTCGCTCTTCCGCTGCGCCATCTGCCTGCGCCGATACCCCTCCTGCGCCTGCATTGGTCGCGAGGGAATGGGCGGGTTGGGTTGGCGTGGGGCAAAACGGAATTTCTAAGTCAGTCAGTCAATCACAGTCCCCTCTCTCATCCTTTCCCGCTGCGAAATCAATCAGCCCAACTACTCCTCCAGCGCCTCAATTGGTTGCGATAGGGTCAGTTTGGGTGCAGCAAAAAGGAGCTTCTGAGGCAATTGAAACGCCTTTTCCCACTCCACTTACCTCTCTCGTCCTCCTCCACCTGCATGACTGGGAGCGGGTGGGTTGGGTTGGGTAGGATTGGGTTGGCTTGAGTTGGGTCTGGTTCGGTTTTAGTGCACTTGGGAACGAACCAAGACTTGCACAAGCAGTATATGTCTCTGTTACGGCCATTCAATTGTTACAATGGTGGTCGCCTGTCTTTTCATTATGATCTTGCAATCAGATCTTACTCTGATGGTGGCAGGCATTTTCATTCTGAATATATTCGTAATCAGACTTACCCTGGCGGTGGCCTGTCGGGTTTGCTCCGCATGAGCCTCAGCCGCTGCGAGCTTCTGCTTCCACTTGGGCTCCGACGACTGACCCGCATCGCCATCGCCTGCATTCGCAAATAACATGGTCCAGAAAAGCAGACAAATCGAATGATTTTATTGAAATATAAAAACATTTAGACATTGAAGTGTAACGTGTCGGTCAGGGATACGTTTCGACCGCCTTCAATGCTCACTAGTGCCTGCAGCAGGCAAAAGCAGATGAACCGCCTACTCTTACTAGCACTTTGATACGTCTCAAAACTAAATAATTTCCAGGCGGTCTCTAGGGCGAAAATGTTACGTACCTGCAGCAGCGCAAGTGCAGGTTAAGCGCCTGTACGTGGTCGCAGTCGCATTGGGTCGCAGAGACACGCTGGACGACTGCCTTGCGACCAGCCGCTGCAAGGAAGAGCTGCAAGGAAGCGAGCGGGGAGACGACAGGAGAACGCACACGAACAAAAAGTGACCCTTTGATGGCAGCGTTTTATCGGGACGGAAAGTTGGATTCGGAAGCAGACACCAAATTTCAGTCCTGTGTAGAAGGGATGCCCGTGGAGAGGTGATTGGGTTTGGCGTAACTGCATGTTATTTCGCCACACATCGCGACGCACGACGGAGGGCAAATGGATGAATGCTGAGGGACTTTCACTCACCCGACTGCAGTGGAAGCAGCAAGAGCCTCCATTTTGTCCTCAACGAGACAGGTAGACTGAGGAACTGGCGGGGAAGAGGAGAATCTTCAGGAGCTACCTCAGCAAGGCAATCCACTTGGCCAAGTTACGTAGGAGCTGAGTTTTCGAGCTGTGCTTGTGAATCCAAATTCTGAGCTTCAGAAAATGATCTGGAAGTGGTAGACTACAAATGTGACAGGATGAGTGAGTGGAGCGAAAACAAAGAAACCTAGAGATTTGTTTCTCGTTTCGTACACAACCGCGCGGAATCGCATTGCTGCGAGCTTGGACTCGAAATTGTTGTGCTGGAGATGAGATTTTCTGACGCGCCAGTCAGCTGCTGCCAGCATGGAAACGGTTTTTCGCCACGTCGGTTTTGGCCTGATTAGTGCGAAAGTGGAAGCATCCATTTGCTTCCCATTGGTCCACCCTTGATTTGAGAGATTGACTGTGATATAAACGCAGGTACCACAAACATGAATGGCATCATCGATACAAACTTCGCTATCACTATATTCAATGTTTATGCTCATTAACGGACTCATTGCAAAGTGCATGTAATCTGTACTCAATATACAGCATTCGCAGATCAATTTTTAGGTCTGTACGCTGGTATAGATTTTTGCAGTGCTTGCTCTCGTAGTTAGATATGACACGGAGTAGCGCGTGTATTCAGGCTGACTGATTTCGTATCGCTGCATCGCGACGTGCGACATCTATCCCGTCCCGTTCACTGGTAGGGCTGATTTTCCACTATCAGTCGCCTTAGTATCGCTGACAGTCGCCTGCGATCGCCTTAGTATCGCTAGGCGCCTGCGATGGGCACAGTAACGGACGACCGTCCGTGCGACGATCTCGCAGCTCGCGATGCCACCACCTCCGCCACCGCCGCCGCTGCGACCGCCTCCGCCGCCAGCCCCACCTCCGCTTTCGCCGCTGTCGTTTCTGGGAAGCGCAAAGAGCGGGAAGAAGGCGCGGGGGACGGCGCAGGCGGCGGCGAGCAGCGGGAGAACCGCGGAACTGGGGGAACGGCGGAAGAAGCGGCTGGACGGGCTGCGGGGGAAGCGGAAGCGGCGGAAGCGGAAGCAGCGGAAGCGGAAGCAGCGGAAGCGGAGGATCTGGGTCCGGTGGTGGGGCCCGTCATTCCCAAGGCGAAGAAGAAGAAAAAGCCGCTGGTGTTCGAACGCGTGTACCTGGACGCGCTGCCGTCAGCTGAAATGTGAGATTTGAGATAAGATCTTGTCAAAGTTTTGGGATTCGAGTTGAGACGTCTCAAGACGCAAGTTTGTATTTGGACGTGCTTCAGACCACAGGAATTTAAGATTAGCGATGAGACGTTCCAAAATATTGATGTTTGAGATTGGATGGTTTCTGAAAGTTCTAAAAAAACATCTGGTGTTCAAGTCGTCCCAGTTCAAAAGTGTTATTATACGCGCTGCCTTTTTCCACCCTTTTCCACCTCACTCCACCATTCCATTTCACCAGGTACGAGAAGAGCTACATGCACCGCGACTGGGTGACGCACGTGGCCGTGTCAGATGCCGATTTCTTCATCACAGGCAGCAGAGACGGTGCGTTATAAGCAGAGAGAGAGGGTTCGTTATAAGAAGAAAGAGTTCAAGCAGATAGAGCTACATGTAGGGTGACACCTCAGATGCTGATTTCTTCATCACAGGCAGCAGAGACGGTGCATTACAAGCAGAGAGGGTTTGTGATAAGCACAGATGGTGCGTTATACGCGGGGACAGCTTGTTAGAAGCAGAGGGGTTTGGTATATGCAGAGGTGATGTATAAGCGGTGATATTGTATAAGCCCCCTCAAGTTCTTTGATAAGTGCCCCCTCCTCCCATTCCTCCCCATCCTCCCTTGTCTATCCCAACCCAATCAGGCCACCTCAAGTTCTGGAAGAAAAAGGCTGTGGGGGTGGAGTTTGCAAAGCGCTTGATTGATAGTCCCACCCCACCTCCTCCCCTGCCTCCCTATCTCCCCTTCCCTTCCTTCATTGCCCCTCTTGTAACTCCTTTTCTAACCCCTTCCTTCGTCTAACCCCAAGCAGGCCACCTCAAGTTCTGCAAGAAGAAGGCCGAAGGGGTGGAGTTTGCAAAGCGCTTGATTGATAGTCCCACCCCACCTCCTCCTGTTCCTCCCTATCTTCCCTTCCCTTCCTTCATTGCCCCTCTTGTAACTCCTTTTCTAACCCCTTCCTTCGTCTAACCCCAAGCAGGTCACCTCAAGTTCTGCAAGAAGAAGGCCGTGGGGGTGGATTTTGCAAAGCGCCCCTTCCCTCCTGCCGCCATCACCTTCCTGTTACCCCTTTTTTCTCCTTCATCGAACCCTCCTACCCCAAGCAGGTCACCTCAAGTTTTGGAAGAAGAATGCCGTGGGGGTGGAGTTTGCAAAGCGCCCCTTCCCTCCTGCCGCCATCACCTTCCTGTTACCCCTTTTTTCTCCCTCATCGAACCCCCCAACCCCAAGCAGGTCACCTCAAGTTTTGGAAGAAGAAGGCTGTGGGGGTGGAGTTTGCAAAGCACTTCCGAGCACACCTGGGGCCGGTTGAAGGGCTGGCGGTGAGTGAGGCAGAAGGAGGGTGACAGTGAGTGGGGCAGAAGGGGGGTGGCAGTGAGTGAGGCAGAAGGGGGGTGGCAGTGAGTGAGGCAGAAGGGGGGTGGCAGTGAGTGGGGCAGTAGGGAGGTGGTGGGACTGTGTGGGAGGGTGCGGTTTGGGTGTGACAGTATCGGGTTTGGACAAGGCGATCGAAAGAAAGAGGTGGTGGGGGTGGAGTTTGCAAAGCACTTCCGAGCACACCTGGGGCCGGTTGAAGGGCTGGCGGTGAGTGGGAGACAGTGTGGAATGTGACAATATGGGGGGGCTTGCCCTTTGCGTGTGGCAGTATGCAGTTCTATCTATCTTGGTCTAAAAGGCGCGGGCGTGACACCATGCAGCAGCTCTCTCCCTGTCGTCCATACCCCCGTCTTCTCCCCACTTTCTTCCCCCTTCCTCCCTCCCCCTCTGTTCAGGTGAGTGCAGACGGCACGCTCTGCACGCTTCTCCCTTTGGTTTCTTCTCCCTTTTCCCACCCCCTCTGTCCCCCTGGGGCCCCCTTCCCCCATCCACACACCCCACAATCAGGTGAGTGCGGACGGCACGCTCTGCAGCACCATATCCTCGCAGGACAAGGCAGCAAAGATCTTCGATGTCGCCACTCCATACAGACCTTCCCCTCCCTTCCCACCCATCCCCATTCCCCCGTCCCTGCCCCCTCTTTCCACTCCCCCCCTTCCCCTTCCCATCAGGTGAGTGCAGACGGCACGCTCTGCAGCACCATCTCCTCGCAGGACAAGGCAGCAAAAATCTTTGACGTGGCAACCTTCGACATGATCTCCATGCTCAAGCTGCCCTTCGAGCCCTCGGCCGTCTGCTTCCTTTTCAAGCCCGACAACGCTATAGCCAAACTCGCTATAGCGGATAAGAACTCGCCGGAGATTCATGTGTTTGATGCACGGGGTGGGACGAACGAGGCCGTGGGGAGGGTGAAGGTGCACGGGGCACCGGTGGTGG